CCTTTGGCGATCCTGGTGAGCCAGTGGCACTTCCAGGTGGTGTGATTCGACGGCTTCGCGCCGCTGTGGAACTTGCAAGGACCATCCAGAGTCTGCTCGTATGAGAAAGCCGGCAACCAGTTGGGCTTGCCGCCTTTCTGTCGCTTGGGTGGAGGCTGCCCATCCGGCTGCTGGTCTTCGACTGTCGCCACCTGCCGGCTGCTGGAAGCCGACTGCGGGGCCTTGCGCTTGTGGTCGCTTGGCTGCAGTCGCCGACTGGCATCTCCAGCCGGAGTTCTAGGAGCCTGAGGGGCCACTTTGCCAGTCGCACTAACTTGAATCTCTGCCTTCATGGAGGAGTCGGCCATGGCATACTTGTCTGCTATGATCAGCAGCTCGTCGAGGGTTTCTGGCTCATCGCAAAGGAGCTTGTGCTTGAGGAGGGTGCCTTCTCTGCACCCAGCGGTGAAGTACTCGATAGCCTGCACCTCGTGCATGCCCTCACAAGAGTTCCGGAGCTCGGCCCAACGCGTGAGGTAGTCGCGAGTCGACTCGTTGGGGCCTTGCACGCACAAGGAAAGCTGGCGAGGTTTGGGAGGACGCTTGTATGTGCTTGTGAAGTTGCGGACGAATGCATCGGTGAAGTCGACCCAGCTATTGATGCTGCGGGGCTTCAAGCTGTTTAGCCATGTCCGGGCCATGCCCTGAAGCATGAGCGAAACGTATTTTACGGCAACACGCTTGTTGCCATTTGCTATGTTGACGGCCGTGGAGTAGTCAACCAGCCAGTCCTTTGGCTTCACGGAGCCGGTGTACTTGGGCGTGTCTCTTGGGAGTGTGAACCCTTTGGGAAAGGGCTCATCTTGAATGCGGGGCCCGAAACAAGGCGGACCCAACTCGTCTTCTTCTTCCAACGCCAGGGATCGGTGAAGTCGGTCGATCCGGTGGCGGGCGTCGTTTTCTCCGACTCCCTCTCGGCGGCCAAGGCTGTCGCCGAGAGTCGGATGGTCAACAGGCGGTGGGGAGACTCGCCTTTCCTTGCGAGGAGGAGGAGGCGGACAGTCGTCCCGTCGTTCCACTGCTCTCGGGCGGCCGTCTTGGTCGCGCTCTATGGTAATGCGAGTCCGACTGCGGTTGACAGCCGGATCCTTGTCTTTCCTTCCTCAGGCGCCGCCAGTCGGCGTCCGAGACGTCGCGCCTTGGTCTCGGCGTGGAGGCGGGTCGTCATTTTGTCGCTGCGGCGCCTCTGTGCGGCAGCCGGCCTCGTTCTGCGCGGCAGCCGTGTCGAGGAGCCGCTGGACTCGCTCCGCCATCAGGCGGCGCTCTTCACCCTCGAAGTTGTCCAGCTCATCCGCCGCCGCTTGGGCGGCTCGAATGTTCTCCGCAGGCGTGGCGTACACAGGGTGATTTGCCCCGAATAGGTTGGCGATGGCCACGCCGCGCTGCTGGACCGCGCCTAGGCGGCTGGGCCCAGCTGGGGCTGGCGAGCCACCCACAGCGCAATCCATCTCACGCTGGTAGGCTTCTGACAAGCATCTCATGCTAGCTAGCTTCTTCGCGCCTTCGACGAGCTGGAGGCGGCGCGCCTCCAGTGTCTCCGCGTCAGCGTCTTCCGGAATGGGCGCGGTCAGGTCTTGCAATGCCGCGCCAAGTGGGTCATGCGCTCCTCCGCCGGGATGCTCGTCATGACTAATGACGAGCACCTCTGTGACGGTGCTTCCGTCGCTCTCCGCGCGAGGGAGCGGCTCATCGTAGACCACCACGTTGGTGGGGAATGCGTCGAGCGGCGCGGTGTCGGAGTCGACCAGCATCGGGTCGGTGGAGCCTACAGACTCCAAGTCCACGGCAGGCTCGCCGGCGACGTGGAGTTGGTCAAGGAGGCCCGCGAGGAGGCTCTCGGGGCCGCACGTGCCTGCGTCGGATGCAGGATCATTGGAGAGGCGAACCTCGCCGACAAGATCGGCGAGGCAGCTGGCTGCGCAGGCGATCTCAGCGCCGTGCAGCGCGTCAGCGCAAACTCTGTCTAGCGTGCCGGGCTGGCTGCGCTCGCCAGGGAGGAAAAGGGTTCCCGTCTAGAGCAGGTCTCCGGACGACGGTGCACCAGGCCCCACGGTGGGCGCCAAATGTCAGGGGTTGGGTGCGACATATGCCAAAGGATGGCTTATCATGGTGGGGGCGAGTAGAACGTCGCTGGTGCCTGGAAACGGAATAAGGCGAAAGCATGCACGCCGGCGAATCTTACCCAGCTTCAGGGCTCTCCGTGGAGATAATACCCCTACTGCTGCTCTGCGGGGTCTCCGCATGATCATTATGGCAAAGTGTGTACACGGTTGCTCCTTGAGCTGCTTCCTAGAGGTAGGAGAAGGCAAGGCTAGCTCTCTCCTTTCTATATGATCTGGTCTAGTGCTAATGGATTCCAACCCTTTGCAAGGGTGCCCTGGGGGTTTATATAGGCCTACCCCCCAGGGGTATAATGGTAATCCGGCTGGACGCGGGCCCAGCCGTCAGTCTCTCTGGCCGCCGTCTTATCCGCCGACTCCTGGGGCCCGCCAACTGGTGGGCCCCGCCGACTGGCTCGGTACGGAGCCGATAGGCCGCGTCCGCCGCGGGCGGGTCTTGCCGGCTGTAGATTACTGTAGCCGTGCCTCTAATGACGCAGGCTCGGTCATGGGGTCGTGGCGACAGCCCCGCCGTCTGGCGGGCGATCACTGTGGCCACTCCCTGTCGCGTCTGGTTAATGGCGCGTGGGGCCCGTGGGAGGGGCCGGCCGACTCCCAACTGAGCCGACTAGTGGCGCTCCCGCCGTCTTCCGTACGCCCGCCGACTGGTGGGACCCGTCGTCCCTGGGTCGTACCGGCAGGCCGTCGTGGGCACAGGACTCCGCCCACTGGGGCTGACATCAGGGCCGGCATGGCAACAGTGACGCGCCGGGCGGAGATCTTCGCGGGTACGGCGTACTGTGGCCACGCCTGCCCTTGGAAAAGGGTGGGAGTGGACTTTACTGTGGCCACTCCCCGTCCCGTCCCTCTTTATGAGGGCATGGGAGTTGTTGGCGTCGTGGGCCGACTCCCCATGGCCGGCTTCTCTGGAAGTTGCCAGTCAGGAGTCGGCTCATCCTGAAGTCGTCCTCGGGACTCGGCCGCGAGTGGGCAGTCGGCTGCCTTGCAGCCGACTCTCAGAAGACGGCTCTTCATCCTGAGGTCTTGAGGGGTGCAGCCTACCTTGATGTCTTGAAAGGTTCTGGGCCTGGGTTAGCCTACCCGTGGCCCATTACTCCGACACTCCTACAATTGGGCCATAGAGAAGAGAGGGAGGCTGCCACAGGAGGTGCCCCCCAAGCCCAATCTAAATTGGACAAGGGATGGGGGCGCGGCCCTCCTTTCCTTCTCCCTCTTCCCCTTTCCCCTTTCCCCTCTCCGTTGAAAGGAAGGAGGGGGGCGAATCCTACTAGGAACGGAGTCCTAGTAGGACTCCCCCTCTTGGCGCGCACCCCTTGGGCCGGCTTCCTCCTCCCCCTCCTCTATATACGTGGGCAGGGGGCACCCCAAAGGCACAACAGTTGTTTCTTAGCCGTGTGTGGTGCCCCCCTCCATAGTTTACTACTCCGGTCATAGCGTCTTAGTGCTTAGGCAAACCCCTGCGCGGATCACATCACCAAAACCGTCGCCACGCCATCGTGCTGACTGAACTCTCCCTCGACCCTGTACTGGATCAAGAGTTCGAGGAACGTCATTGAGCTGAACGTGTGCTGAACACGGAGGTGCCATATGTTCGGTACTTGGATCGGTTGGATCATGAAGACGTTCGACTACATCAACCGCGTTAACATAACGCTTCCGCTTTCGGTCTACGAGGGTACGTGGACACACTCCCCCTCTCGTTGCTATACACCTCCTAGATAGATCTTGCGTGAGCGTATGATTTTTCTTTTAAATTGCATTCTACGTTCCCGACATGCTGCAGAAAGTGTTGTTGCCGCTTCCTCCTCGTCCGCAATCCATTCTCCTCCTCTAAGTCCATCCCCGACGAAGGCTTGACACAGGCACATGACGATGAGCATCGAGCAAGAGCAGCTAGCAATGAGGAGTCGTGCCGTGTAGTAAGCGGTGGCTAGGGATTGGCATTAACCCAATGGGTAATTGAGATCAATCGATTTGGATCGATCGGTTTCTCCACGCCGCTCGGTGAAGCTCTTCATCTATTGGGCTGGGCTGCAATGTGTATATACCACTATATGGGCTCACTTAAGCCCATTTGGTCTGTTCCTTCTTCCTTCTCGCGTAACTCTTTGACGCAGAACACAAATCTGCAGCAATAGCGACCTGAGGGGGTTGTCCATGGAGATTTGAGGCAAGGGGTGGGGTACTCTCTCTGCCGTTGGTGACCCGCGGCAACTACCCCAGCTTGCCTCTATGGTGGATTCGTTTCTTCATATGTGTGCATGTTGAAAGAAATGTGTTAATAGGAATAAACTATTTAATTTCATACTCCTTCTATTCCTAAATACTTGTCTTTCTAGGCATTTCAACAAGTGACTATATACGAAGTAAAATGAGTGAATCTATATTTTAAAATATATCTACATACATCCGTACGTAGTAGTCATTTGAAATGTCTAGAAAGACAAATATTCGAACGGAGGGAGTAGAATCTATATCGCCATTGCAATGCATGGACAATCATGAGGTAAAAAAAATTGGCTTAAGAGACGAGGTGATGTGATGCTTTAAGTTTGGAGGGGTTAATATAAAATCACCTCATTTTACTCGCTTTTGGCATAGTTTCTAGAAGCAAGTGCACGCCGCGCCAGCGAAGAATCTAGAACAGAACACATAACCTCACGAAGGAGAGGAGCGAGGGATAAAAACCTTTCTCTCCGACGCAAAGCCAGCCAGCGAGCCAGCGAGGGGGAGAAAGAGAGAGAGAGAGAGGGAGGGAGGTCGAGGCGAGCGTCGACCGGTCGTTCGGTGTGAGGAGGAAGAGGAAGAGATCGCCGGAGAAGAGGAGGCGGACGAGAAGAGATGTTTCTGGTGGATTGGTTCTACGGGGTGCTGGCGTCGCTGGGGCTGTGGCAGAAGGAGGCCAAGATCCTCTTCCTCGGCCTGGACAACGCCGGCAAGACCACCCTCCTCCACATGCTCAAGGACGAGGTCTCTCTTCTGTTATTTCGATCTGTAGCCTTCCCCTCTCCTCCCTGGAAGCGGAATCCGATCTTGTCGTCCTTTCTGCTTGCCGGCGATTCTTGATTTCGTCTGACTGGCGTGTTTGTGCTTCCGATTGGATGGCAGCGGCTGGTGCAGCACCAGCCGACGCAGTACCCGACGTCCGAGGAGCTGAGCATCGGCCAGATCAAGTTCAAGACCTTCGATCTCGGTGGCCACCAGATCGCCCGCCGAGTCTGGAAGGACTACTACGCCAAGGTTACCTTTGCCTCTTCTTGCTGTCTGCTTCTTTGCCTGTGGTTAATAGTTCTTCTTTCTGCAATTGCTATGAGATCTCGACGTATGGTTAGTAATTCTACTTTGTGCAATTGGTATGAGATCTCGACGTATTGTTAGTAATTCTACTCTGTGCGATTGCTTTGAGATATCTGCAAGAAGTAGCTCTTGTACTGAATGAAACCAAGAAATGGAGGTTAGAGACATAAGCAGTACCTATTTAGGATCAGAGGCATGCATCTGAGTAGATAAGGCACTGGGGGCATCTAGTCGGTAGACCAAGCATAATTTATCAATATAATTTAACATCTTATTCGTTACTGAATCTCATCATGTGGAGACACCTCCATTTAGCAACCGGGAATGCTGCCAATGCTGGTTTGTGATTGTAGCCAACGGTTCACTATGTTATTCTGAAAATGACACAAGATATTCTAGCTCTTGTATTCAGGCCACTGTGATCGACAGTAGGCCAAATTTGAATGGGGCGGTGTAGCTATGTAGGTCTCTATCCAAGCAGAAAACATAATAATGGGTGTAATTGCAGCCACTTTGAGCAAAATTGGTGTTAGTGCTAATCTTATTCAGATGATGGATGGCCAGAGAGTTGCATGGATTTTCCTGGCCAACTTAAAACTTAACATCCTAACATCACTTTGCAACAGCCATATGAATCAAAGGGAGAGAATCTGTTTCCTAGCAGAAGGTCCACCGGATATACCACATTCACCAAACTATAGATGTTTATAGCCCATTCTTGTTTATTCCCGAGTTGCTGCTATTATCAAGGAAGCGCGCAAGTCCAGTATCTTTTAGGGACAATTGCCCAAGTTATGTATCACTGTGTTTGGAGAACTTTCTGAATGTACAACTCATACTTCCCACTTTACCAATTAACTACCTAAAGACTGCGGTGTTTCCCTATTGTTTGAAAGTGGTACGTGTTTCTGTTCTTCCATAAAAACTGTTTAGTGAGCTGACATCACTTGTGGGGTTTACATAAAAAAACTTCAACTGGGGTATGGGAACGAGACAACTGACTGTACTAGTATTTTGAGAGTCTTGCTCCAGTCAACGGGATTGTACATTACATTGACCTCTCCTTGGGAGTATTCAGCTATCTATCATGTCTTCTAGGCATATTTAACCTGTGTTCACCAAAGGTTCTTCTAAAATTACATGCCTTACATATGTTAAGACATGAAGTTAAGCGTTCAAATAAGGTTTGATCATTATCAATTTTCTTTAGGACAGTTCTCTTGGAAAAGAAACTTGACCATGTAGCTGTTCACAGGTTTTTAACTGGTTTCTGGGCTCCCAACAGTACCTTTCCAAACTCTGTTATATTTTTCTTGAAGAACACATTGCTCTTATATCTTTCATTCTTTGTAATACCTGTAAATTTAGGCACAACTAATTTACTATGGTCTCAGATGTGCTGATTTATAACCATTGAAGACTTAGCCGTATGAATTGTGTTCTATTTCCTGTGGACTTGGCATCTTATAGATCTAGAAAGTTCAGCTATCTATCATGTCTTCTAGGCATATTTAACCTGTGTTCACCAAAGGTTCTTCTAAAATTACATGCCTTACATACGTTAAGACATGAAGTTAAGCGTTCAAATAGGGTTTGATCATTATCAATTTTCTTTAGGACAGTTCTCCTGGAAAAGAAACTTGACCATGTAGCTGTTCACAGGTTTTTAACTGGTTTCTGGGCTCCCAACAGTACCTTTCCAAATTCTGTTGTATTTTTCTTGAAGAACACATTGCTCTTATATCTTTCATTCTTTGTAATACCTGTAAATTTAGGCACAACTAATTTACTATGGTCTCAGATGTGCTGATGCATAACCATTGAAGACTTAGCCGTATGAATTGTGTTCTATTTCCTGTGGACTTGGCATCTTATAGATCTAGAAAGTTCAGCTATCTATCATGTCTTCTAGGCATATTTAACCTGTGTTCACCAAAGGTTCTTCTAAAATTACATGCCTTACATACGTTAAGACATGAAGTTAAGCGTTCAAATAAGGTTTGATCATTATCAATTTTCTTTAGGACAGTTCTCCTGGAAAAGAAACTTGACCATGTAGCTGTTCACAGGTTTTTAACTGGTTTCTGGGCTCCCAACAGTACCTTTCCAAATTCTGTTATATTTTTCTTGAAGAACACATTGCTCTTATATCTTTCATTCTTTGTAATACCTGTAAATTTAGGCACAACTAATTTACTATGGTCTCAGATGTGCTGATGCATAACCATTGAAGACTTAGCCGTATGAATTGTGTTCTATTTCCTGTGGACTTGGCATCTTATAGATCTAGAAAGTTCTTGTGTTGTGATGTTAATCGACTGGGATTGTTTTTTTAACGGTGATCGACTGGGATTGTTAACGGGATAATATATCAACCAGCAACAAAGCTGAGATCTATGCATTTCTGGTGCTTGTAGCTTTGTTTCTTGCCGGTAATTTTTCTGTTACACCGTTGCCATGCTTGCTCATTGAGATTTTAAATAGATGGAATAGAGTAGTTACATTGTAAATATGTAATCCTCTTCAAGGTTTACATGTATGGACAATGCGCTCTGAATGTTCAGCCATAATGCATAATGCATTTACTGCACTAATCACAGTCTGTAAAGTGGAAGTGATCAAGTGAGATGCATGACTAATAATTTATTTGAGTAGCCTTCTATAATGTTCATCAGAAGGTTCATATATTTCTTTTGTGTTGTTGGTTCTGTGCCTTGACCCTATTCTTACTTAAATTATTTATTTGCTGATTGCATCTTCTGTGCAAACACCAATGTATATGGATACAGGTTCTACAATGCACCTGATATGAGTATTGATATCTACAGGGAATTTGTGCTTCAATTTTCGATCTAGCTTCTATTTGATTGCTCTGAGGGAATTTTCATAATGTGACAATGTTGGAAGTTTTATTGATACATTACAATAAGAGTGTAATGCATGCTTTGTTATTGATACATTACAATAAGAGTGTAATTCATAATGTGACAATGCTGTGTACTTTTTATATTTGCTTGTTAAATAGGAGTGAGTACACATAGAAAGTAGTTAGTCAGCTAAAGCTCTTCTGTCCTTGGTATGTGCTGCTCTTAGTAAATATGTGCAGCTTATCTGTCATTGCCTCCTTGGTATGTGGCTGTTAGGACTTGGATACTTAAGTCAATTGACTATTGGCAGTTTTGTCATGAACTAGTTAATAGTTTGGATGGGCTTTAGTACTACCTCTTTGTCATTTTCAGTTTTTTTTTCTTTCCCCATAAATAATTAACACGCAAAAGTGTCCAGGAATGCATACTCTTCTATCCATCTGGATAGCAGAGGTGAAAAAGAAGAACACCATTTTACCCCGAAGTAGTCCATAATGAACAACTTCACATGTCACCACTGCCATCTTTTGTGCTGCTCCACTGTTCACATATCTGCATATATCACAAGGAAATCCTACTTGTATGACTATATGTTCACAAATACAACTTGTGAACGCTTCTATTATCTTGTCGTGAAAATAACATTTGAAGTGCAGTGAAGTGCATCAAATATTATCTCTTTGGATTAAACTCTGAATGAAAATGACTGTATATCACTCAGAGTTTAATCCAAAGAGATAATGTCTGCTGCCACATTTTCGCTTAGTTGGATACTGCCCCATGCCGTAACCATTAGTAGTAAACTGTGAATTATTAATATGGTCAGTTTACTTTTATGTTGTCATATGATTCTGCCGGCTTCTTTTAATTCCTAATCTGTCTGATAGGTGGATGCGGTTGTTTACTTGGTGGACGCTGCTGACAAGGAACGGTTTGCCGAGTCGAAGAAGGAGCTCGACGGCCTTCTTTCAGATGACTCCCTTGCGAATGTGCCTTTCCTCGTACTGGGTAACAAGATCGACATACCTATCGCAGCATCCGAGGAGGAGCTGCGCTACTACCTTGGGCTGAGCAACTTCACCACTGGGAAGGGCAACGTGAACTTGTCGGATTCAAATGTGCGGCCCCTGGAGGTGTTCATGTGCAGCATCGTCCGCAAGATGGGCTATGGTGAAGGTTTCAAATGGATGTCCCAGTACATCAAGTGAAGGGCCTTCCTGCTGTCCACCGTGGCAATATTCAGGTCCTGGTTCTTTGCCCGTCTCATCATCCTTGATGCTCTGGGGAGAACTGCAGCTGCAAGAAAAGATTTATCTTAGTGATAGGGAAAACCTGTAAGTTGACGATAATCCTAGATATATGGTTGCGTAAATTTGTTTGACAGTTCGTGTGTAATGTGATTTTACTAGTTACAATGCGGTTGCTGGGATCAGTTGTAGACTATGGGAAGTGTCTCAGCTATTGTAATCTGTCATCTCAGTCGGTGAAATGTTTGTTACCACCAGCTTAGATTATGTTGGTGAAACTTTTTGAGCAACCCTGTCCATCGAGAAGTGCGCTGAGCCTTGTGTTTGCTCAGTTTTTGCTGTGTAATCAGTGTGATCTGCTTAAGTAGTCCCTCCGTCTCTTTTTGCTCAGTTTTTGCTGTCAAACACTTGACCTGCAGCTGCAGCAGTGTGGAAGCAAGGCGGTGACGTTTCACCTTGATTCCGGCGAGGAACGAACGGCATGGGCGTCGGGCAGAAGGGCGGCGAGGGCCTAGGGAGGCAAAGACAGCGACGGGGGATAGGTGTGAGATTTTGCTCCGAGCAGTAGCGGTGCCGGAGGATAATTTATGAGTGGTTTTCTTAAGTGGTCCCTCCGTTCTTATCATGGGGCAGAACCCCTCTTGCAAGAGCCAACAATTTTATGCCAAACATTCTTCTTTCTTTCTTTTGCGCTGAAAAATCCATCGGTTAGGTGAAGAGAATAAATAAAGCTGGTCGTCCGTCAAACGACGAACATCGCACCTGAAGCATTCATGAAGCGTGAAGAACTAACAGCCTATAAGAAGAGGAAAAAAGTCCATTTTACTCCCCTGAAGAAAGTGGGTTGTTTGCATAACCCCCTCATCTTTCTTTTGGTTCACTTAACCCCCTAATTTAATCAATACCGTTTAAAAATCGTTGTTGGTGGGTTTCTCAGGTGGTT